TGTATATTTTTCAAGTACAATTAGTGTCCACCACGAGGTTTGGTAAAACTAATATGGGTCACACTGTCCCTTAATTCATAAGTTGCTTCAATCATTTTCTTTATGGTGACAAGAGGAGGCACCCATACATCTACCAACTTGGCCATATTCATTTACACCATAGTAGATGGATTAGTGGAGGTGGAAATTCTAGATTTTTTGCAGAAGATAGGCTAAACAACTCCTACCTATAGAAGGTTCACCCACCAGCCTTAAACCATATTCAAGAAGAAAGTTAGAACCACGGATCACTTTCTCTAGTAAAGACGTCTCCAAAATCAATTCTAACAATAATGACCCCATGGTCATAATAATCCAATGTGACAATTGAGATATAAAGCAAATATTGATTGACCCATGGAAATCAGTGGATTCAAAAGGTGCATTTGAAAGGCAAGTACTTATTGACACGTGGAAATCAGTGGATCCAAAATAGGTATTTATGTCTTATTCTATGGCGCATTTGAAAGGCTCTGGATGGATCCAGATAACCACCAAACATTATAGGGTTCGGTGGTTGTACTCTCTAGCCAAAAAGTACATGTGAGAGGCCACATAACTCTCAAGATAGTGTTTGGGATGAACGAGATTGAAAAATATCAAGGTCAAGTATCTCGTGGTGGATTCCTTGTCTTTATACAATATCACCATAGAACAGCCCACCCTCAACCTTGTAGGGGGCGCCTTGTCAAATTTCTTCTTAAGCATGAAGTACATGTTGCCTAACAGGTGAGTTGAAATAGTCCAAGTTGATCATGAGATCGTCTAAGGGTGTTACCAGAATCGCACCAGGATGAGAGGGTGGAGATGGCCATCACCTCTGCTCTATAACTAGGTGCGAAAGGAATGAAATTTGTGAATTTAAATCCCACGATAGAGCCCAAGAAAGAAATACTGGAGCCCAATGAATATCTAAAGAAAATTTAGATAGGGCACCAAGATTTTCAAACCACTAAGTTGGACACCTCCTTGACCAAAGATAAAAAATAATAGCTAGTCGTCCTACTAAGGAGGAATGTTAAAAAAAATTACATAAGACCCGTAAACATGTTGGGTATAAACATCAAGGTGGTCTGCCAGTGACCTTCTAATGATTCCAATGTGAAACATGTGGTATGGAGAAGGTGTAAATTTGAATAAGAGAAGCATGCGGCTATTGGCGAAGTGGTCGAGAAGTTGAAGAATGCAAGCTTCATAAATAAATTCAATTATCCTACTTGGTTGGCTAATGTGGTCATGGTTTAGAAGTCGTCAATTAAATGATGAATATACATCAATTTAATGGATCTGAATGCAGCAGTCCCTAAATATCCATATCCATTGTCCAACATTGATAGATTGATCGATATATCCTTAAGCTATAAGAACTCGAGCTTCAAAGAAACTTAATCCGGTTATAACCAAATAAAAGTGGAGCCATTAGATGCGCATAAGACGGCCAGAGTTCATGTCCAATCATGTCAATTACTACTATAATGCCATGCAATTTGGATTGAAGAATGCATGAACTACTTACAAAAGGCTAATGTATGTGGTATTCTCTAACCAATTAGGGTGTAATCTAGATATCTACATCAACAATATGATTGTGAAGACCCTTGTAATTAATTATATGTTGGACCTCAACTGAATGATCCTTGTTACCTATAAGATAATTATATGTTAGACTTTCACTAAAAGATCATTGTTGCCTATAATGCAATTATATGGTAGACCTTCACTGAAGGTTCCTTGTCGCCTATAAGGCAATTATATGATGAACCTTCAGTGAATGATCATTCTTGCTTATAAGACAATTATAGGTTGATTCTTCGCTGAAAGATCTTTGTCGCCTATAAGGCAATTATAAGTTGAACCTTCACTAACGAATCTTTGTTGCCTATAAGACAATTATATATTGAACATTCACTGAAGGTTCCTTGCACCTATAAGGAAATTACATTTTGGACCTGCACTGAATAATTCTTGTTGCCTATAAGGTAATTATATGTTGGACCTTCCCTAAAGGATCCTTGCCTATATAAATGCACCATTTTTTTCATATCCTGAATATTTTCTCCAAACTTCATTCTAAACAGTTCATACTCATGGGTCAATGTGTTCATCCTATCCCTTTTTAAATCGGTTTTATCTTTATGGATAACTTGAAGGGTGTTCCACATTTCTTTAACAGTGTTACAGAATTATACATATAAAATTCATTAATACATGAAATGGTAATGATAATGGTTTTACCTTTTAAATTGTACTACACATTTTTTTTATCCTCTTTGGTCAATAAATTTCTAGCTTTGTTTTCCACCAAAAGCATTAACCTGATGTATAAGAACAAATGAACCATTTTTTTACAACGGTTCAAATATCACACTTCATCCTTTCAATAAAAATTTTCATTTTCTACATTTTAATAAGCATATTTTTCACCATTGAAAGATTGGGGTGTATTTAAGATATCATTTGAAGTCACCCTACGACGCCTTGAGACGATTAGTCTTTAAACACGAGTTAGACTCTGATATCACTTGTTACCTAAGGGACTTCAAACATAAGCTGGATAGTGAGTTGTGACAAAAAAAAAATTCAAAAACTTAAATAAATTTTATCTATTTTAAGATTAATTTTCAAAAAGGAGTAGAAGAAGAGAATTAGAGAGGAAAAGTAAATAATAATTACGAGATAAGAGAAAAAGAAGGAACACAAAATAGTTTATATTGGCTCATCCCAAAATCACGAGACCTACTCCAACCCTCAAGAATTACACCTTAAGATTTCAACTACCACATAACATTTTTCGTAGGATCAATCCTCAAACATCTTACACCGAGCTTTTATCCTAGATCCAGCTTACAACATTTATAACTTATCATAATTCAATAGAATAATATTATCTTGTTTTACAATTCTAGATAAGAATGATAAAACATAAAACAGTACAAAAAAATCTATTAAGTGTTTACTTTCTCAACATTAAAATTGTATTTTAAGTGAATATGTCAATTTAGAGTGAGGTAAGAGTAGAGAAGAATGTAATTTTTAGAATTATTGTGTTTTAAAATAAACACAAGTTCATACAAATTCTCCTTTTATAGTATCACAATTAGCCATATAAAAAAAATAAAAACTATGGAAGGCATGGATCCCCTACATAATCAATTGTGTTGCATTTATAATTGATTATGACCTAAAAAAAATGAAAACTTTGGCGAAATCTATAACATTATCAGTTATAAGACTTCCATAATTAATTACTAGATGCATTTCACCATGTAATCGATTAAAAAATTTCCGTAATCGATTATAGCCTAAATTTCTCTACATAATCAATTAGAATATTTTGACCCAATGCAAAGTGATTTCTTTTTTAATTGAAAAAGATAAAGTTTGAAAGAGTTTTTTTGTGTGCGTGAGAAGTTTGAAAAAGAGCTTTTTAGTGTGTGACAAAAAGATTGTTTTCTATGTTTACTTTTATTTATGTAAGTTATGTAAAATCCTGCCATTTTAAATAAATACAATATTTTTTAATGCTATTCTTATTGTTAAAAAGTTTTCTTTTATTATTATATATTAAATTTATAATAGTATATTAAAGATGCTTTCCCATCAAATCAAGAAGATTTTACAAAAGAACAAGTGAAATATAGTAGGGGTGGGGTTAGGAAAAGAGGTTTTCCTATTAAGACAAGAACTGCCCTCAAAGTTACTTCCAAAATATAAATATACATTTTTCTCAACAAAAATAAAACTTTTTTATGTCATCATAAAATATACTTCTAGACAAAAACATTACTCCTATGTTGTCCTAAAGCATACTTTTAGAAAAGTGAGAAGTGGGAAAAGAAGATCTCCACACATGTGATAGTTAGTCCAAAGTAATTCAGGCAACATAATTCCCACATGCCCCCAAGTAATAGCATTTTATTATTTGCATAATTTAGTCATCCCTCTAATCTTATTAATCTTATTTATAAGATAAAATAGTTCTTTAAAATTATTGAATAATCAATATATCTTATAAAATAAAATTATTTAAATTTATTAAATAATAAGATAAAGTTATTATTTAAATTCATTGAATAATTAAAAAGTATTCAATATATCTAAAATGTATCCGATTCATTAGTCGTCATTGCACAATTCAGATATATTTTCTATTCAATGAATTTAAAAATATTTTATTTTCCATTACTCATCATTACACAATCCAGATATATTCTTCAAATATATTTTTTATTCAATAAATTTAAAAATATTTTTTCCCATTACTCATCATTACACAATCCAGATATACTCTTTATTCAATGAATCTAAAAATATTTTTTTTCTTATATATAGAACCAGAGGTAGTATTTTTTTTTTTTTAGCCTATTTCGATATTGGTCATCTGTTTAAAAGCCAACAACTTTCGGGCATCCTTTATCAGAAAACTTCAAAAGCCATTTTAGAGTCAAAATCTTAGAATATTTGTCAATTTCCATGACTCCAAGCTATTCTTAGGCCATGAAGAATTGAACTTCTAGAACTTCAGGTTGCATAAAAAAGCTACCAGTGTCCCCAATAATCAATAAGATGGTGATACCAGCAACAGAGCCCTTATAAATTCGGAGGGACCAACTTGGAATTTTGATAATATATCGAGACCATGTTCATCTCAACCATCTAATTAAATAACTATATCGAAAGGAGAATGCTGGCAGTTCACACTAAACCACTCATATTTCCGATTCACACAGTTTCAACCCAAGGTATTAAACCATTGCTTACAGTCCGTGGGGATGTATTTATTCGGACGCATGCAGCATAGGTGAAACCATTACAGTCATACCAATTTATTACATAAGGTAGAATACAGAATTTCTTACACATGCATCATAGGTGAAACCATTAGTCATACAAATTTACTACATAAGATAGGCCACAGAAATGTTGCATATCTTAGCTGAACTTAGCTAGTAACAAATTACCTAGCTGGACAAGTACTGTGTCATCCACGATTGGAAGCGAGACCAAGCCAGCTGAACTGAAGCTTCGTCTTCGTCGGGCAATCCCATGTTCTTCCTCCTAGTTATTCCTTCTGGAGACCTGTTCATGAATGCATGAGTGTTGCCAGGGTATATGTGTACCTCGTTTGGAACTCCGGATGCCTTTAACTTCTCCTCCAAAGCCTTTGCAGCCTGCAAGAAACATTAATCAATGTCAAAACATCACTTTTCTTGAAATCCCAGAAAAAGTACAAAGTATGATAATGATAGAACCCAAACAACAGATGAGGAAGCACCACATCAACCATTAATTCACTCAGCAACTAGTGGGGCCAGACCATTATTGGTTTATTCTAGAAGAAAGGGCAGATTGGAAAATAGTTGCTAAGGTTGTTACAAATGAGGTGACGTGTTGTAGAGAGAGAGAGAGAATGGCAGCTTTTCCTTTCCTAGATATAAGGGGGCAGAGTGGGATTTGGGGATTATCTTTGCATTGTGTCTGTTGCATTGAGGATAGAGAGTGCTGTCTCTCTGTTGAGGAGCTTAGCTCTTGACAGAATTAGGGTTTTGTAATTCTTTTGACAGAATTAGGGTTTTGTAATTCTTTATTCTGTAACTTGTTCCCTTATACATTAATTCGATAAATCTTTCTCTAAATTATTTCTCTTAAATACTGATATTCTTGTCACTACTCTATTGGTATTGTGTGGGTACGTATCAACTGGTCCGACCTACCGGATTCTTGACGGTGGTACCAGTGGATGCCGGCAAAGAAAATCACAGCGGCAGCATTTACGAGAATGGAGGCAAAGGTGACGGCGTTAGAAGGAGAGATCTCAGAGGTACATTCTACCTTGGAAAAATTCCAAGTAGAGGTGAAGGAGAATCACGAGAATTTAATTGTGATGTTGGAAAAGTACGGCGGTAAGAGAGGAGAGCAGTGGGAGTGTGTTGAACAAAAATGGATCGGAGAACTTGGATCCACCGGAGAAGAAGACCGGAGAAGTTTCCAATGGGTCTCGCGCCGATTTCTTGACTGAGTTTCGTCATTCAGTGAAGAAGGTGGAGCTTCCGTCGTTCGACGGTGAGGATCCTGCCGGCTGGATTTCACGAGCAGAGGTTTACTTTCGGGTACAGGGTACCACGCCGGAAGTGAAAGTGAGTTTAGCCCAGTTATGTATGGAAGGACACACCATACATTTTTTCAACTCACTAGTTGAAGAAGATGAAGGCCTGACTTGGGAGACTTTGAAGGAAGCGTTACTCGAAAGGTACGCGGGACATGGCGATGGAGATGTGTACGAGCAGTTGACTGAGTTGAAGCAGGAAGGATCTGTGGAAGAGTATATAACAGAGTTTGAATACTTAATCGCTCAAATTCCGCGATTACCGGAGAAGCAATTTCAAGGCTATTTTCTTCATGGGTTGCAGTCGGAGATTAAAGGTAGAGTTAGGAGTCTGGCAACCATGGGAGATATGAGTAGAATGAAGTTGCTGCAGGTAACTCGTGCTGTAGAGAAGGAGGTAAAAGGGAAGAGTGGAGTTGGACTCAATCGTGGGCCAAAAAATGGGCCTTACCGGGTTGGGTCACCGGTTGGAAGCAAGGGAGGGTCAGATTGGGTTATGGTAAAAAATAGAGAAGGGGGTGCAAGTGGTAGTATGAGGAGTGGGCCAAACAATGACAGGCAGGCCCAAGGTGACAGGAGGCGTGCTAGGCCTCGTGATAGAGGGTTTACACACCTCTCTTACAATGAACTTATGGATAGAAAGAAAAAAGGATTATGTTTCAAATGTAAAGGACCTTTTGGTCCTACCCATCAATGTCCAGACAAACACCTTAGAGTGTTAGTGGTGGATGGTGGATGATGAATGTGATGAGGATGGAGAAGCAAAGGTGTTGGCTGTGGAGGTAGGTGAAGAGGAGGATGAAGAGCACGGAGAAATGAGTATATTGGAGTTGCACCATATAGCCCATGAAAACCATCAAACCATGAAGTTTCAAGGAACAATCATGTGGGTAGAAGTCTTAATTTTGGTGGATAGTGGGGCATCCCACAACTTCATTTCACAAAGTTTAGTACACCACATGGATTGACCCATTGAACAAACTCCACAAATGAAGGTTAAACTAGGGAACGGGGTCCAAATAGAAGCGCAAGGGAGGTGCAAAGAGTCGGAGATGTACATTGGAAGATACAAACTAAGGCAGAACTTGCAATTATTTGAATTAGGGGGTGTTGACGTGGTGTTGGGCGTTGAATAGTTAAAAACTTTGGGTGATACTATTATTAATTGGAAGCAACACACACTGAGTTTTTGGGAACAAGGGAAGTGGATAACACTTGGAAACAAAGAGGGGTGCAGAAAGCCATTAATTGCACTGCAAAGTGTTCTAGAGAAACCCATTAATTGCACTGCAAAGTGTTCTAGAGAAACCCAGATCCAAGAAAGATGGGGAGGTGTGGAGAATTGAGGGGGTTGAGCCTAAGGTGGTTTGTGAATTCGTTAGGTCCGAAAGCCCGAACCCGGAGTTGGAGTGGATGTCGGGTGAGTACGCGAACGTTTTCCAAACAACTTGCGAATCTGTGTTGTCGGAACACCAACACCGGGAGTTGGAGGAGGTGTTAGGTAAGTACGCTCACATTTTCCAAACACCTTCGAGCCTACCACCCAGACGGAAGAAGGAGCACGCTATCAATCTCATCGACGGACATGGAGCAGTGAATGTTCGTCCTTACCGCTACCCCCATCATCATAAAAATGAGATTGAAAGACAAGTTAAAGAGATGTTGGCTGCCGGAATAATTCGTCACAGTACGAGTTCATTCTCTAGTCCCGTTATATTGGTGAAAAAGAAGGACAACACATGGAGGATGTGCATTGATTACAGGGCACTTAATAAGGTAACCATTCCCGACAAATTTCCCATCCCTGTCATTGAAGAATTATTAGACGAGTTACATGGTGCGGAGTTCTTTACTAAGTTGGATCTTAAGGGTGAAGGATTCTGATGTTGAGAAGACTGCATTCAGGACTCATGAAGGACATTATGAGTTCCTTGTAATGCCGTTTGGGCTTACCAATGCCCCTTCGACGTTCCAAAATCTCATGAACGATGTGTTTAGATCATTACTCCGAAAGAGTGTATTGGTGTTTTTTGACGACATTCTTATCTATAGCCAAGACTGGGGGACTCATATGAAGCATCTTAAGGAGGTATTGGAGTTGTTGTCTGCTCATAGTTTGGTGGTAAACAAGAAGTGCAGTTTTGGCCAACATGCAGTGGAGTATTTGGGGCATGTAATCACAAAGAATGGAGTAGCTGTTGACCCTAATAAAGTGGTTGGTGTGCTTCAGCGGCCTCAACCCAAGAATGTTAAAGGAGTTAGAGGGTTTTTGGGGCTGACAGGTTATTATCGGAAGTTCATCAGAGATTATGGAAAAATTGCCAAACCTTTAACAGAATTAACTAAGAAAGATGGTTTTAAATGGAACGAGAAGGCTCAAGCAGCGTTCGACATATTGAAGCAGAGGCTTACAACCGCACCCGTGTTAGGCTTACCAGACTTTTCAAAAGAATTTGTTATTGAGTGTGATGCCTCAGGTACGGGCATAAGGGCTATTCTGATGCAGGACAAAAAACTGGTGGCTTACTTTAGCAAGGCTTTGGGAATCAGAAATTTATCTAAATCCGCATATGAGAAGGAGCTAATGGCTGTAGTGCTGGCAATCCAACATTGGAGGCCATATTTGCTAGGAAGGAAGTTTGTAGTATCGACGGATCAAAGAAGCCTCAAACAACTAATGCAGCAGAAAATCGTAACGGGCAGCAAAGCTGATGGGTTATGATTTCGAGATTATTTATAAACAGGGCAAGCTCAACAAGGGTGCTGACGCACTATCTAGGGTGCATGAAGGTAGTGAATTGAATACTATGAAATCTCTAGTCACTTGGGCACAAGAAGAACAAATCAAATCAGAGGTGCAAGAAGATGAGAAATTACAAAGGATCATTGCAGAAGTTCAACAAGATCCTTCATCTTGGCCGGGATACAATTATAGACAAGGGGTTCTTTTTTATGACGACAGGTTGGTAATTTCCAACAAATCTCAACTCATTCCTACTCTATTACAAGAGTTTCATTCTACACCACAAGGAGGGCACTCAGGATTCTACAAAACATATAGGAGAATGGCTGCAAATCTATATTGGGTAGGTATGAAAAGCACTATACAAGAATTTGTTAGACAATGTGATACATGTCAAAGACAAAAATACATGGCATCATCTCCAAGTGGTTTGCTGCAACCACTCCCTATTCCAGAACAGGTATGGGAGGATATATCCTTAGACTTCATCACATGTTTGCCTAAGTCCAAACAGTTTGAAGCTATATTGGTAGTAGTAGATAGATTATATAAATATGCACACTTTATACCCTTGAAACATCCTTATACAGCCCGAAGTATAGCAGAAATTTTCTGTAAGGAAATAGTCAAATTACATGGCATTCCTTTATCAATAGTAAGTGACAGGGACCCTATCTTCATGAGTAATTTCTGGAGGGAAATATTCAAGTTGCAAGGAACCAAACTCAAGATGAGTACAGCCTATCATCCAGAGTCTGATGGCCAAACAGAAGTCGTAAATAGATGTCTAGAAACTTATCTGAGATGTTTTATAGCTGATCAACCAAGGACTTGGGTGACATGGATTCATTGGGCTGAGTACTGGTATAACACTACTTACCATGCATCAACAGATAAAACACCATTTGAGGTCGTTTATGGCAGACTTCCACCTCGGCTGACAGGATGGGCACAAGGCGAAACTAGAGTGGCCAGTGTGCAGCAGGACTTGATGGATAGAGATGAAGCTCTGAAACAATTAAAAATTCAGTTACTGAAGGCACAAGAGAGAATGAAGAGTCAGGCAGACAAAAAGAGAATTGACAGAAGTTTTATGTGTGGAGAATGGGTGTTTGTCAAGCTTAGCGCCCACCGGCAGCAATCGGTAGTTACCAGGATCAATGTTAAATTAGCTGCCAAGTACTATGGCCCTTACCCAATAATAGAAAGAGTAGGAGCAGTAGCTTATAAACTCAAATTACCTGAAGGATCTAGAGTGCACCCTGTTTTCCATGTTTCCTTATTGAAGAAGGCAGTGGGAAATTACCAAGACACGGAACTCCCAGACCTGTTGGAAGAACAAGTAGAGGTTTATGAACCTGAAGCTGTACTTGCTACCCGGAAGGTGAAGCAGCATGGGGAAGAGGTGAAGCAGTTACTAATTCATTGGAAGGGCAAGACTATGGAGGAAGCTACCTGGGAGGAGGAATTAATGATTAGAAGTCAGTTTTCGAAATTTGACCTTGAGGACAAGGTTCATTTTGATGGAGGAGGTATTGATAGAACCCAAACAAATGAGGAAGCACCACATCAACCATTAATTCACTCAGCAACTAGTGGGGTCAGACCATTATTGGTTTATTCTAGAAGAAAGGGCAGATTGGGAAATAGTGGCTAAGGTTGTTACAAATGAGGTGACGTGTTGTAGAGAGAGAGAGAGAGAGAGAGAGAGAGAATGGCAGCTTTTCCTTTCCTAGATATAAGGGGGCAGAGTGGGATTTGGGGATTATCTTTGCATTGTGTCTGTTGCATTGAGGATAGAGAGTGCTTACTCTCTATTGAGGAGCTTAGCTCTTGACAGAATTAGGGTTTTGTAATTCCTTATTCTGTAACTTGTTCCCTTATACATTAATTCAATAAATCTCTTTCTCTAAATTATTTCTCTTAAATACTGTTATTCTTGTCACTACTCTATTGGTATTGTGTGGGTACGTATCAAATAAGATATAATATTTCAAGAAAACAGATAACCGGACACAATTAAGGGATCTAGGCCGGCCCAATGCACAAGCTGATGAAATAATGGCTTTCTGCACTAAACGAAACTACCCGGAAAAAAAAAAAGAAATAAAATAAAGAACAATGATATTTAATTGCAAAATGAGCCAGCAACAACATAAATAAACTGACTATAGGGATTTCTAGAGATAAACAACAAACATTGAGTGCTGCAAACAAATTTTCATACCGTAACATCTGAAAAGCCAACAAAATTGTCCAGCTCTCCAAAGTGAGCCTGAACAGGAGCTTTGGCCTTAGCAGGGTCTGCAAGTTCAGAAGAAGGAACTCCATAGAACGCCACAACAGCATCAACATGTGGAACCAGCACAGAGCTTGCAATTGCGAGAGCGCCCCCCATGCAAAATCCAGTGACACCAACCTGTCAAATTGAAGGATAAATTTACATTTTATTTAATCAATGACTTAATTCTAGCTTAGGCAAAATGAGATTTTTAAATTTAGACAACTAACAACACAAACAGATTCAGTGCACATTAAACAAGCATATTTTTATTCTTTCACTATTGTGTACCTAATAGCTCTATGAGCAAGGAGCGTTCCCTCCTCAACTTCAGTTATGGAGCAGAGATCGGGATGATTCTGATTAAAGCCTCAAATTCTTTAGATAGACCATCGAGAATAGCTTCAAGATGATTACATAAGGAATATGGATCTCTAATGGAGAACAAAATACCGATGATAGCTTTTATTCATTGTCGATAATTAAACATGGACGATGAACCCTTGGAGAGACTTTGTGCAACAACAAAAGCATTTAAATGAATCTAAGAGGGATGAATAAGGTCACACAAACAATAGGAAACATGTGTTGTCACTCGAATTATGTTGGAATTACTCGAATAAGATCACTATCCTGCTCAGAAAGGAAATGTAGCGTGTTGGAAGATTTAACCGCAAAATTTTGGAGTTTGTATCCTTGAATCACACCCTCAATCTACAGTTTCCATGGGAGTAGTTTTCTTAACCAATTTGATGTTGTTTTTGTGAGAAAAAGTGACTGAAACAGATGATTGGGGATCAATTTTCAGAGAAAAGGTTGTTGAAGCCTTGAAGGTGGTCAAGGTAACAGATCCTAGAAGGCTTTTATACCATGTTAGAAAAGGTAGATTGATGAGTGCGAGAATAAGCTATAGAAAATGAGAGAATTTTTGAAAGAGAAAAATCCAGAGAGTGAAATTCTGAATATGCTGTTGCCTTTTCATTACATTGATCTGAATAGTTCATGATTATCTATTTATACTAGTCTCAAACTTTCAATTTTAGTTGTTATGCCTATAACTTTAATACAGTTAGAAGTTAGAACTACATTCATAACCTACAACTGTCGATAACCAGAATGATCTAGATCCCAAACCACTAAATACATAAAACTTGACTATGCACAAACACCGAGAGAACAATTACAGAGCAAGTATTAAAGAAACAACAACAGTAGACACAGCAGTAGATTAACACTGCTATTGACTATTCCAACTCTGTTCTTTTCAGCTTTGTCTTATATGTCTTAAACGCCCTTGGATATACAATTTGTGTAGCACTTTGATTGCATTATAAAAGTTTAAGTTGTTTATTTTGGGAAACAACTACATGTCAAATGAGAAACTCAGATCGGTCTGCTAGTACATTTGTGTGTAGTGCCCTGGTTCGTTTGTCCGCGAAATTATCAAATGTAAAAGATGCAGTATCTGTATTTGATAAAACTTGAAAACCAAAACGAAATTCTCAAATGTTGGAGGAAGGAATCAGACCAAATAATACATCATTTCCAAAATAAATCCAAAATAAATCCAGGGAAGAAGAGACAAACCTTCTTTGAACCATTTGCTTTAAGCCAATCAACTGAAGCATGGATATCCTTCACGGCACCTGGCCAATCAAGACCCTCAAACAAATGCTGTGCTTCTGCAACATCTAGACCAACCTTTCCTCTGTACAGACTGGAAAAAAAGGCAAAACCAATCAGTCATCATCATCCAATTACAGCATATGTCACTGCAGAACAAAGATTAAATAACTCTACGTAGCACCATATCTTACTCTGGGATAAGAGCTTTAAATCCAAGACTAAGTTGAGAAATCAACGCAGCATGGTTTTTAATTTCAAAATCCACACCCCACCACTCTTGGAGCACAACAATTCCAGGAGCATCGTGTTTGCCAATGACATACGCATCAAATGTCTAACCATCGAAAACAGCATCGTTAGAATAGAAAATCAGCAGTGAAGTTTCATGGCACGTAAAGACATAGAAACAATACCCGTTTACTTCACATGTTTTATGATATTAATTTTCACTACAGATCCAATATTTCTCTAGTTGTTTTCTTATACAAATTTAGTATTTTTCAAAATTTTGAAAATGTTAAAACATTGTTTTCGTTGTTTCTGAAAAGGAATCTCCCTAACTATTCTTCCATCTTTTTGCTATCCATGGCGGAATATGGAAAAGGCAAAACAATTGCCTTATAAACACGCCATAGCAGGCATCCTTCATAAAATAATCATGGCAGTTGTCAACAAATCTGCCACGCCATTCCGCCATGGCCTTCATTTAACAAAATCGACGATTATTAACTTCATAAGTCATCCATCTTCTTTTTTACAATTTAAAATGAATATATATTTTAGAAAATGAAAAAAAAATGGTTTCAGAAAGTAAATAGTCCCTAAGAAAACTCCATGTCCTACCCTACAAATATGGACAATGGAAACACGGCGCTGAGTAATAATTTTTTTTAGTACACAAACAGGTAAGCTACCCCTTTGTATATATAAATAACAATTTTAAAAAATTAATAAATTAAATATAATTATAAGTGTCAGCTTCAAAGTGTCAATTTCAAAATGTTAGTGTCAATTTCAGACACCAACACCAACCTAGTTTGTTACAGAGGTGTCAGTGCTACCAACATCCTACAAAATTGAATGACATATAATCAATCCGATCTAAATCAAAACTACATGCAGCAAAGTAAAAACCACATTTAAGCTGCATGTAAATTGAGATGATCCTAGGTTACTAGTACATCAATTAGAATGAAAGGAGCAGAGACTCACAGTGTTGTCATCCCTTTGAATCTGGATTTTGTTGAAAGGGGCGGAGTCAGCCATGGAACGAACTGAGAAGCGAGAAGCGAAGGGTGAAATGGTCCGAAGAGAGTTTGTGGCGAAGAATTTGGGGGAAGATGATGTTACAAACCTCAACATTCCTCACTCAACACTGAGTAAAGTTATATGCAAACTAACTAAAAACCCCAACCGGTGCACGGTCAATTAATTAACTCAACGGTGCTAATAATTATTTTTTTTTCTATTACTATATTAATGACAATGGTTAAACTATTTTAATTGATAGTATGCTACACCATATTATTATCATTATTTTTCTTGTTTTCTTCGTAACTATTTGAGAAAAAATTTTAATTGATATTATGTTACACCATATTATTATCATTATTTTTCTTGATTTCTTCATAAATATTTGAGAAAAAAATATAAACCCTCGGGTAAAATATTTTTATAATATAAATTACTTTTACAGCGTAAAATCTTTTTACATTATCAACTAATAAAAAGTGTGTATCCTACTAAATTACTTTTTTATTTTTAAAATACTGATATAATTTAGTAAAATTAAAGATTTTGATTGGATATGTGTGTAATATTGATTTACATTGAGAGTGCGTTACCCAATTCATTTTTATCACAACCCAATTTTTTTTAGGTGGGCTCACCCAGAATACTTCAATATAATCCAAGATTGCTTGGGAGAAATCTACATATGGCATTGTATCTTGTCTCTAAAATGTGCAACACGGTTCTATCTTTTTTAATAAAGAAACTTTTAGCATTATCAACAAACGGAAACACAATATTGAGAATAGACTCAGGGGTATCCTACGCTCTTTAGAGAAAATAGATTTGACATGACTAATTTATCTCTAATATGAGCTTCAACAGGAGTATGATGAGATCCTTGCGCAAGAGGAGATTCTTTGGTATTAAAATGTTAGAGATGATTGGATTAAATTGGGGGATCGGAACACCAAATTTTTTCATTCCAAGACGGTAATTAGGCGGAAGAGAAATAAAGTACATGGCCTTCATCTTCCCAATGGTATTCAATGTAATGATGATATTATTCTCAAGGAAGAAACACTAGAATTTTCTAAAGGTTTTCTTGTTCTACATCTTCTATACTCCCTCGCTAGTATGAGTGACTCAAATATGGCTCTGAGTCTTACTGAAGAAACCCTACACTTTTTGACTCAACAAGTGATGAGGGAAGAAGTTATTTATGCGTTGAATCAAATACACTCATTCGAAGGGCCCGACCCTAATGGATTCCATGGTATTTTATTTAAAAAGTTTTTGTATATAATTGGAGATGACGTTGTCCAACTTATATCAGATGCTTTTGTGACTGGTATTTTCACTAATCTCTTTTTGAGACTCTTATCACATAAATTCCTAAGGCATATTGCCCCCAAAATTTTAAGGAATTCATGTCCATTAGCCTGTGCACACTATTTACAAACTTATTACGAAGATTAGGTTAACAGACTGTGTCCTTATCTAAATCAAATAATTGGACCCTTCTAGAGTAGTTTCACTACAAGAAAAATAGTGGATTGCGACGGTTATTTTGGAAGGTTACGACGGCTAAAACCACCATTAATTATATTTTACGACGGTTGTAGTACCGTCGCAGAAACGTGTGTCCTCAGGCTGTTTAGCGACGGTTGTCAAAACCGCCACACCAACCGTCGTTATATTTCACGACGGACTGGAACTGATCTAAATTGCAGATGGCGACGGTTAAAGACCGTCGTTACTAGCCTTTTAATTTTTGTTTTCATTGTTGATTGTGACGGTTTAAAACTGTCGTGAACTCTATTTCACGACTGGTTGGAACTGACATAAACTGGAAATGACAACAGTTAAATACTGTCGTGAATATGGTTTTGATTTTTAAGTGCAGGTGAATTGTGGCGGTTTGAACCGCCGCAAATTGCGAATATTTAAAAAAAATTCTACCCTTAATATTTTAGTTATATTATAAAAAATAAAAAATATATATATTTCTATAATACTAATAGTAGAAAATTACTAAAGCTACTCTAATATAATATCAAAGATATTATAAAACCTTGATGTATCAACTAACATTAAGAAAACACAAATCACAAAAGAACTAAATTTGAAAAATCAACAAACATCTCCCTGATTAAGTATCGAAGAACATGTGTCACCAAATGTTAAGTGAGTACAAGTTGTGTCAATTGATGCAGAGCTTAAACTAATTCCCTCTTAATTATAGGAAAAGATAGTTTACATATAAGTTATATGGTAATCACTTATTGAATAAGCACTTAATTAACTTGTATATAGGACTATAGTTGTTAATCTAATTTGAGCATAACATCTTCCACCAGATCTCTTCTAGAGGAGGATTCCTTTAGGGGCTCAAAACATTCATGCATCACAGAAAGAGCAACATTCAGTTTGCTGTAACTTTTTTCCAATAATCCACTTTTACTACTATCAATATCACAACTCTCAGAGTCATACACTTCACCACTGTTCACGTTAGATCATCCATGCCCACTGAAACTGGCTCTCCCAACATTCTTTGAAGGCCTTCACATAACTGTGAAAAAATAGACAACAATAATTTAGTATGGCATTAAATTTACTTAGGCTGGCTATTGCCAAGTCATACCATGTAATTTCTCCAAAATCAATCTTCATTAATTCTATTAGATTTCATGTGCAAGCACTGACAAAAATCACATATACCAAAGTATCAAGGAAAAACATAATTTTATTTCAAACAAGATAAATTACCAAATTTCTACAAAAATATTGCTAAAACTTTCAAATAACTAAGGGGAGACATTGAATATATACTTGTTCATAATCTTTTCCGCAGAACCGGCTTTTCGCATAATTTATGGACTTGCATGTATCTCTACTAACGATTAACATATCATTCAATGACGAATCCAAACATCAAACTGAAATAAAAAAACACGACCACAGTAGATCAGATTTGAATCATCTACAGCATGTCGCAAACTGTTAGATTAAGAAACAATTATCTTTCTCAATCGAACGGTCTACAGCAAACTGCGCCATAAAATTGACTGCAGAGAAACTATTTTGCAACAAACCTATCATAACTATGAACTAAGGAGTGATCTTTCATTTGCATGTCATTTGAGGCATCCTAAAAGAGCCACGGCGTAGTAGACACAACACAAAGAAGCTCACAAGTTGGAATTTATAAGCTGCAACTAATTGACAAAGTAAGAGAAAAAATCTCCAGCAAATTCAGAGTAACTAACTTTTCTGCATGTGAACGACAAAGTTGCAAGCAAAATGAATGAAAAGTGTTGATTGTAAGTTCTTTTGCTATTTCCTTCCCAATTATGGCTCCAACACGTTTCGAATTTGTTGGTTTAGCAAAATCTGTTTCGAATTTGTTTCTTGTTGAATGAAGATGTTGAGTTTCAAAAAATAAATTTTGATTTTAATTTGGTCCTATGACAACAGCTATAAAACCTATAACTGAATATAAAAAAAAAGGGAGACCTAACCTGTCATCAAATAGAAATAATAAAAAGTAGGGAGGCCTAACTACAAGTTTACAACTAAGACAATTAAATATAGTTTGAACTAGAGGAACAATGTAAGGCTATGTGAAAATGCAAAAATGTTGATAAACTTAGAAACATGGGGGGCCAAAAGTTTTCATGTTGAGGGACAAAAGATTCAATAGAAACACAGCTCGCACCCAGAGGCTTAATACATGTCAAAAACTTAAAGAACAAAATAATTAAGGGGATGTTTGTTTCCTGGTTGCAGAAAATTCCCAGGAATTTAATATCAGAAATATTTATCCCCATGTCTGGTAGAATAAATTTAAGGATTATTCCCAGCAATAAATTGTTCCACGAAATATATATACTCATGAGCATCCTATACCCAAGGAAGGAAGATAATATATTGTATTCCTGGTGGTTATAATGCAGTTGTCAAGTGAGAATGCCACATTATCCTCATAATTGCACTTCTAAGAAAATATGCATACCAAATAGAAATAGCATTTCTTGGAAAGAAAACATAATTGGCACAATAAGATTAAACAAAGGGAATAGAAACCACAAGAAAATAAAGCAGTACCTATAGTATTCTCTAATTGCTGCCATGGACATGTTCTATAGTCTCTCTTCTAACAAACCCTTTTCTGAAGAGGTATTATGGGAGCCTGATATCTCTTGTGCTTGGGCAGGTGGTTGATTTGAAACAGGTTTATCAAGAATGCTATTATTTACATTTATCAAGTCCCTGTTACTATAATTCATATTCTGCTCTAGAACACTTGATTGATCATGACCATTTAGACCAGAAAATCTATCTGGAACATATCTTGAAGGGTGGTCCTCCCTAGAGTTGTATGAAGCCTGTTCAGATAAATTACTATAACCATTAAGACCCGTAGAACTTGAAACTGTATGAGAACCTCTGATGGACATTCCTCTAGCCAAACCACCTTGGGGTCCCAAATTTATTGATCATCAGCTAAAGGCCTTTGAGGCAAGGGAATAGACAGTGTCCTAGCCTCGTAAGATTGCCTTTCATACCCACAAACATCCTGAGAACCATACCCACGAACTTGAGTAGGCAATCCACCCATCTGAGGATTAGGAGGGGATAATATAGATGAACCTCTTGAACCAAAATCCATAGGGACTTTTCTTGCTGCACTAATACCCATACCACGACACAGCCTACCGGCTTGGGATTTCCTCTCTTGGGTAGCATCTCGGTGCACCTCTTCAATATTTTTTGGACCTTCAACGTTTCTCCTTTGTTGCCATCTATTCTTTCTTAAATCAATGGTATCCTTCAACATGAACCTCACCCTAGAAGATAAACTCATATTGTTTGATAATAATTTAATCCTTTCAAAATATACATCCATATGTTCCTTGGCTTTGGGGTGATCAATCATCTCTCCAATAGTACTCATCAGTTTGCATAAAGCTTCAATATCTTCTTCATCAGGATTCTGACACTGACCCAGTAACTTTTTTATACACTCGTGCATTATCCTCTCTGTCAGCATTCTCTTCTTATATAGCTCTCCAATTAATCTGATATTACCCAACATTCGTCTTCTAGCCTTGGATCGTTTTTCTTCT